GCGATCGTGTGGACCTGTAAGTCCTTGCTGCCGATCTTCTTGCACGCCTTCACGTAGCAACTCCGGGCTGCCCGTCGGTCGCCTCTGACGACTCCTATTCCATTCGGAGTGGGGAACTTCATACACAGGTGTTCCACAGATATTATGGCCTTGAGGTCCTCTAGTGCTGGCCTTCCCAGTATGATGTTGTGGGCACAAGTGAGCCTTACCACGATGAACTCCATGTCCAGCTTGCGAGCGTTGGGGCTCGTGCCTATCTCCACGGGCAGGGTCACCGACCCTTCTGTTTCCACCGAATCCCCAGTAAACCCAGAGAGTGGAGTTCGTACCTCTTTGAGCTGGCCTCTAGGTAACCCTAACTTAGTGAAGGCGTCGTAGTACATCACGTTAACCGAGCTTCCCGTGTCGACCAAGATGCGATGTACGATCGTATCATTGATGTCCATCTTAATCACCAGTGCGTCGCGATGGGGTAAGGGGCCCTCGGGGAGGTCCTCGTCAGAGAAAGTGATGGCCTCCCGCCTCTGCTTCTTCCCTTTGGGAAGACTCACCACTTCTCCTACGTACAGCTGCCTGCTCCACTTCTTCCTCTCTGTGGGTGTGTCGCCGCCAGCTGGTCCACCGTAGATGAAATGTATGGTGTGTTTCTTTTGTCGTCTGGGCGCCATCTCGGTTTCCTTCTCGCTGTCATCCTCCTCCGATATCTGGTCGTGCTCCCTTTTCTTGGCGTTCGAGGTGGATGGCTCGGCCCCATCCCCCTTCCTCCAGACATTCTTTGGTGGATTTTTTGATGGATCGTGCTGCGGCTGTTGCTGCTGCCTGGATCGCTTGACAAAATGCCGGAAGTAGCCCTGCTGGATGAGTTCTTCTATCTGTCTCTTTAGCACATTACATTCGTCCGTGTCATGCCCGGGTTGCCTATGGAACCTGCAGTACTTTGCTTGGTCCCCTTTCGGGGAGACCTTCATGCATTCCGGTGGGAACTCGACTATTCCCATCTCCTCAGCCTGTTTTAGGATGACACTGACGGGATGGGTAAGCGGAGTTAGGTTACGCAAGGGAACCAGGCGAGGCCGTTCATGGTCCCGGCCTTTCCCTGCAGCCGGGTGGTTCGAACGTGGCGCTTGGCTGGGCGGACCAGCTTTCCCAGGTTTTCCATTCTTCCTGCCGTCCTCCTCATCTTTCTTTTTCCTATCGACGTCCTCTGCCTCGGCATAGCGGCTAGCCGTCCTCATCAAATCTTCGTAAGAACGGGGGTGGTGGGCGTTTAGCTGCTTGTGAAAATACCCCGATCTCAAGGCATGGATGAATATCGGGATTGCCGCCTTGGAGTCGAAATCGTAGACATTGTTGACTTCCTTTTTCCACTTGATTAGGAAGTCTTTGAGGCTCTCGCCTCTATCTTGCTTTACTACACAGAGGTGAGAGAATGGTTTCTTACGCTGTATGCTACCGGAGAAGTATGTTAGGAAGCTTTTTGACAACTCCCCAAAATTTTGGATCGACCCGTCCGGGATGGTGTTGAACCAATCTTGGGCCGTTCCATCCAGGGTAGACAAGAACGCTCGGCACATGATGGCGTCCCCCGCCCCGATCATTACCATGGCAGCCTTGTACCTAGTCATGTGGACCCGTGGGTCAGTGGCTCCAGTGTACGCCTTGATGGCAGGTAACCTGAAGTCCCTCGGCAGGGGTACGTCCATGATGCTTGGGGAGAACGGTGCTGCCATCCGTACCTTAGGTTCCGGCGACTGTTCCCGTGCCTCCACCCTTCTTGCTAACTCCTTGATCCTTCTCTGCAGCCTTTCGACCAGGGCTGGCTCGTCAAGGTGTCGGCGCGGAGCCGGCTGCCGCTCCTCCCTGTGTCGTGGGGCTGGTTCCTCGACGTTTCGTCCATCCAAGTGTCGGTGTGGAACCTGCTCATTAACGCGTCGTTCGCCTGCTGAGTGCCGACGCGGAGCCGGCTCATCGCGTCGCTCCGCCGAGTGCCGACGCGGAGCCGGCTCATCGCGTCGCTCCGCCGAGTGCCGACGAGGGGCCGGTTCGTCGAAGCGTCGCTCATCCGAGTGTCGACGCAGAGCCGACTCGTCATCGTGTCGGCGCGGGGCCGGCACACGAGACTCGCCCATCCTTTCTACGGGCGATCTCTCAGCTTCCCTTTCCTCGTGTCGGCGAGGGCCTCTAGCGGAGGACCCCCCGGCACGCGACTCCGACCTTTGCCGAGCGGGAGCCCCGTGTCCCAACCGTTCCAAGGCAGAGCGGGAGGGCCTAGGTTGCCGTCCGGCCGGTCCGCTCCTAGCGCGACGCCCTGCGTCCCTCGCGGCACGTGCTGCGTCCTGGGCGTCCACCCTCCGCGGGGATTCCACCTCTATTTCCTGAGGCGGGGGCGCTTGGCCTTGCAGTCCCATCGCCACTTGGTTCAGTGCCGCCGCCACTGCCTGCTGAATGGTCGCTTGGAGGTTCACGACTTGGTTCGCCCCTCCATTGTTGGGCTGATCTCGGAGGTCACCTCCATTGTTGAGTTGGTCTCGGAGGTCACCTCCGTTGTTGAGTTGGTCTCGAAGGTCCCCGGGCCTCCCATTGTTGAGATGTTCTCGGAGGTCCCCTCCACGATTGTTGGTGAGTAGGTCACGGAGGTCACCTGAGGCGTTTCCATTGTTCACGTTGCGAGAACCGTGGGAGCTGCGGGACGCCATTCTTTCAAGCTTGTTGTTGAAAGATAAAGGGAGTTGTGTTGTAGCCTGCTTGAGTATTGGATTCAGGCTCTCAATGAAAGCACCAATGACGGTAATAACGTTACCGGTAAATAATAATAACGATAATCTAATAGCGATGTGTCAGAGAGACAATAGTGGTATTGCTCTAGTTCTTAGTATAGAAAGTACAGTGTGTCTTTGCTAGCTGAGGAGATCCCTATTTATACTTAGAGTCCTAACGGTAACAACACGGACATAAATGAGGAGCCTGGTCTTTAAGTCTCTCTCATCAATGGGGGCTTCAATGCTGTCTTCAATGTCAGTAAAGGTGGCACCTGTTGGGATTCCTGACTGTTGGAGTTTCTATTCGTTGGGTTCCCATGTGACGCTGAGTCAAGAGTCCATGCCCATTTGTGATCCGGGTCGGGTGCCAGCCTATTATCCTGTCAGTAACAATGTTGGAAAAGATAACGGATCGCGAAGTTATAACGGTAGGGGTATGTTTGTTCAAAATATTGTAAAGTACAGCTCTTATTGCATAATGTACACTTATTATGTTTTTAGACTACTATATTCTATAGTGATGTGCAAAAACAGATGTTCAATATTTTTTTGTTGGTGTTAACCACACAGTGTGAACCCAAGTTATGGGAGGCACAGAAGCTGGCCCAAAGGGAATCGTCACTTATAGGAGTCAAACACAAGTTATCTCAGAATTCTCCCCCACAAAGAGAGCTCATTTGCCACTTGAGCTACCCTGATGGGTTACAGATGTTCAATATTAGTACTATATATTAAGATCTTAGATTTATTTAAATTTTAGATTTTATATTATTGTATAATAATAATAATAATAATAATAATAATAATAATAATAATAATAATAATAATAATAATAATACGGAGTAATAATTTTTATAAATTATTTTTTAAAAATACAGCCGTGGCTGTCCTCGCGGAGAGCCGGTAACATTTTATTTTAATAATATTTTTAAAATTTTAATAAATAAATAAATAATTTAAAAATAAAATAAAATAAAAAAGGCACGTGTCAACACTGCAAAGATTTAACCTGTTGAACAAGTAAATTTAGACTTAATTAAACAATTTTATCAATTTAGTGAATTTGAATGAAATTTTTTTTACTTAGAGCCCCAATTGCGTTGACTTAGGGAGCCAATTTGACTCTTCCCTATTTTGTGCACTTTAAATTTGTTCTAAAAAAAATGTTCAATGTAAATACGTTATTTTGTACCACCTATAAAGCTATTACACCTATTAAATAGGGGGTGTAAATAGCAAAATGGGTGGTGCAAATAGAATTTCCCTTTAGGTATTCATATAGAATATATATCACAGTATTCGTTAAGCGAAAATACGTAGAACCTTCTTTATATTTTATTAAACATTTATGTTAGTTACTTTCAGAAAGAAAATGTAAATATCTTTTTTATTATTATTATTATTATTATTATTATTATTATTATTATTATTATTATTATTATTATTATTACTAAAAAACAATAATTAAGGGAAATTGATATTTTTAGGATATGTTGGTATAATACCAAAAGTGGCAGATTTGATCTCTCAAAGGTTAAGTCTGTCACTTTAATAACAATCGAATTACTAAATCTGCATCGCATATGTGCGACTGTGCGAGAGAATAAATTTACACAACGGTCATAACTAATTGATTAAACGTATTATTTTCTCAATAATTACTTAATGGGAAATGGAAATTCTCACCAAATTTGTAGATATTTTTCCATGATATTTAAATGAGTGATTAAGAAAAAATAATTGGTTTGGGCTCAGATGACACCTCGGTGGCTCTCCTTGAGGGAAGGTCATATTATCAAACCCTAATGGTGAGGTATTTACTCTTTAAGCTACAAATACTCCATATTCAAAAACAAATATGATCAGACCGTTACGAAATGTATGTATATTGTTATGTGCGACGCCCTTTGGGAGGCAGGGGTACACATTGCTATGTGCGCCATGGTGCACGGTATAATGATTGATATATATATATATATATATATATATATATATATATATATATATATATATATATAGAGAGAGAGAGAGAGAGAGAGAGAGATTGAGAGATTTTAATAAGAAAAACAAATCCTTTTTTACTAAAAATAATTGACTCAATTTGAAATGGAGATTATTAGCAAATTTATATATATCTTTCCATAATATACAAAAAGAGAACTGAATTAAATATGATTGGTATTTTTCAAGGAACTATATATACTCTATACTAGAGCGATTGCAGTCACACAAACAACAACAATGGCGATTAACACAACATTAACCTTAGCCATTATTATTGCTTTAGTTTCATCATTTGCTAATGCCTATGATCCAAGCCCTCTTCAAGACTTCTGTGTTGCGGCAAATGACCCCAAAACCACTGGTACATACATCTCATACATAATTTTCTGATGTTTTCTTCTTCATACTCACTATATATGTATATGCAACTAACATTTGTGATTAATTTTTGTACAGTTTTTGTTAATGGAAGAGTTTGCAAAGACCCAAAACTTGTAACTCCAGAAGATTTCTTCACAACAGGTCTTAATGCTTCCACATTACCGGCAGCATTCCCCGGCTCAACATTTAGTTCGGCTAGTATTAACAATTTACCTGCATTAAACACACTTGGTCTCACTTTGGTTCGCAATGACTATGTGGTTGGTACTGTTGTTCCACCCCACATTCACCCTCGAGCAACTGAGCTTGCCATTGTCTTGAAAGGTACTTTCTACTTTGGATTTGTAACGGCTGATCCAAGCGATCCGACAAAGAATCGAGTCTATGCAAAAACGTACAACGTTGGAGATGTTTTTGTTACCCCTCAAGGTCTTATTCACTTTGGGGCTAACATTGGAGCTGGGAATGGAAGTACTTATGCAGTTTTCAATAGCCAAAGTCCTGGGTTTAATTTTGTATCGGATCAGCTTTTTAGATCTGACCCGCCCATCTTAGATGATGTATTAGCCAAATCTTTTCGTGTGGATGAGAAAGTGATAAAGCAAATTAGAGCACAATTCTCTTAGGAAAAATGGCATTTTAATGTAAAATGGAATGTGCAATAATTAAAGATTGTTTCTCTTTTATAGTGTTATTATAAATATTATGGTATGGCAATCCTATCTCATGTGATAATCACAGTTTTTTTAAAGTTATCAATCCATAAAATACAAATGAATATTGGTTCAAATTCAAAGATTTAATGCACTAACATCATTGAAATTCTAATCTTTTAAGATGGATACGATGATTGGTAACCATGACCGCCACCCTCGTTCCAGACGGCAATGATTGTGGTTAGAACGGTGGAAGTCTGTGCAAAACCTAAACGCTTCCAATCCCCCTCGACGACATAACCAAAGCCTGCAAGAATCCCCACATTTTACCAATCGTTATGCCGTGCATCAGTGTGCACCAACGACGTCGTTTTAACTAAAAACGTGCGTCCCACTTAAAAAAAAAAATAGTTTCGATTCCCCTCAATAGCATTATGTTGTTCATTCACTAACAAAATATGAATATACTCAATTTGATAAAATAATTTGAATAAAAGATCCACTATAAATTACACATCTCATCTCATTATTAATATCAATGAAGATTATATTATTGTGTTGAAGCAATATGCACTATTAATAATATTGAAAATGTGAAATAATGTGAAAAGATAGTGTTAATGGTGAAAATGTGAAATAAAATGTCAAAAAAATTGAAAACAAACCACACGCTCAACCACAGATTTGAACCCTGGCCTACCTTTAAGCCACCCATGCACTCTGCCACCTAGGCTAAGTCACATTCTATTATTATTTCTCTATTTTTTAATACTTATACTAAAACTTCTACTATATATACACATATACATACAAGGGTTATATAAGAGGTGGGGGTGGGGTGAGTGGGGGCAGCTGACCCCACTGCCCCACTGTGGGTCCGCCTCTGCCTGCTGGTAGGATGATCCAGGTAGAACATGTCGTAGAGGTCATAAGATTTCCACTTACAGTGGATGCCTAGATAAAGCCTTTATGAAATTCTATTATGACGGATGGACATAGCCAATTAATACGCATTGGATGCAATTATGACTTGAATTACTGTATTCACCTTTTTGGACAACACATTGTGACATGAATAGAAAGTAGAAACTATTAGAGGCTCTAAGACCCTCAATAAATGATGAATTTTAATTTGATATAAATGTTGATATGATGGAAGTCCTAATCTGAGTATTAATGAGATGCAAGCAGTTGGATGTTGAAAAAAGTATAGAAGTATATTTTGTGTGCTAAATTGGGATTAAGGTTGGATTATCTATCTGGATTTTGGTTACCAATACTTACTTCCTAATGAATCGTTCAACCATTTTTCTAGCATACACACTGTTTTCTCTCTTTTAACACTCAAAATCACGACACCTATGTAAGGAACTTGAAAGCTATGTAAGGAATTTGGATTGCTTGAACTCTTGAATGGTTACAAATGAAGTCCTTGAAGGTATTTATAGTACCCATTCTATCTCCTTAATAGATGGTGGATATCTACTTAATCCTACGGCTAGTTATTTATTCATTAGAATCCTCCCAAAATTTCTATACAAAATCTTGTGAATTCTCTAATGTTCTAGAATGTTCTAAGCATCTCTACAACATCTAGTTGATATGTACATGCTTCTAGACTATTCTACAAACTGCGAAATGCTATGTACAAGTGCAAGAAAGCTCTAGAGCGATGTAGCAAACCTCGGAATCTCATAGGAAAGTTGTACAGACGCTACAATATACTCCTTATCCCCTGGGAAAAGAATAGAAAAATTTTCCAATTTGCATTGCAATAGGAAATTTTCAGAGATAGAATTTCTACCGGTACTAGACAACCTCATAACACACATTCCCGGGGAAATCGTTGAAATTTCATTAAATTGAAGGACATTTTGATCTTTTTAATACAAAGTGTGTTGACCCGTTATATTTTATATGTTTATGTTTATTTTTTGAAAAAAAAAATCATAATTGAAGAGCGAAATGCCCTTATATTTAATGAAATTTCAACTATTTTTTTAGAGGGCCAAAATTGATCATGTTATAATAATACTTAGTCCAAAAAAGGATGTTCTAAAAAAAAAAAAGACTAAAAGTGAACTATCGCCTATAAATTTACGACCAAAAATGAAATTAACTCAAAATAATTTAAATAGAAAGCATGAAAATAAAAGTTGTTGACTAATATGATAGAGTCAAAAGGAATAAACCCAAGTCCTTTAGGATGTAGTTTAGGTATTTACCAACCACACAACCTCACATTTGTTTTGTAGTTTAGGTATTTACCAACCACACAACCTCGCCTTTGTGTAAAACAAATGTATATTATTATGTAAACCATATATACTATATATAAAATGGTAGAGTTAATTCCAGTAATAGTCCCTCGAGTATGATGATTTTTCACAATTGATCCTCGACTTTTAATTTGGACAATTTAACCACCCGACTATAAAATTCTTTCCAATTGAGGTCCTTCCGTTAATATAAGGTTAAGTTGGCGTCTATTTGAGGGCTAAAATTGTCCTTTCCCCTACAGCCTTACTCAGCGTATATTATTACCACCGACGGTCTGTTCTCCGGTGAAGGTACATCACAACCTTGCAGATAATATCTTCTGGGAGAAGATAAATACATTAATATCAGTCCGTTTCTTTCCCAATGCAGTAAAGGTACAAATTAAAATAATTTGCGTACATCAACGAAGTAGTCATGGAAGAAGAGACGAATGAGGGAAGCACCCATGCGAGCTTCTGCATTAATGGCGGCGACCACTACTTCCTTAACGGTCGAGAATACACACGCTTCATCGGCAAGCATACCCCCGGAGAGTTTCCGAAGACCAAGCGACAACAGGTTGGTCGACTGTTGTTACGCCGGAGTCCGCTACTAGAGGGTAAAGCTACTACCTTTGCTGAAGGTCGAGGAGGGCCAACACTTGGGTGCCCGAGCTCGGGGACGAAGCGTACGGCGCCGGAGGCCTGTCATTTTCCTCTCTGCTCTGGTGTCGAATTTCGGCGCGCTCGTCGATAACCGACCGCCAATTTCCCAAAGGATCGTTCGAGAGAAGTCAGAATTACACATTCTTAAGATCTAGTAATGCTGACCCCTAATAAGGAGCATCTGGCGGAAGGCATACAATGGAAAATTGGTAAGGGGCCAATCTTTCAGTCTGATGTAATGTATGTTCTGGGAATTTTGAAAGCTTTCCAAGGGAACTGTGACTCTTGGAAAAAAATTTCTAGTCTCAAAATCCCAACTATTGTCAGGTTTGTTGCATCTCTGCACTACAATACCACAAAATCAAATGAAAATTTCTTCAAAGCAGTAGTTATAGTTGATAGAAGATTAGCACTTCACTGGTTTGCATTGTTTTGTGAGTATATTAGATCAGCATAACAATATGCAATGCCACTCTAGAAATGATCGAAACGAAGGGAACACCCAAAAGCAACACTCAGGAATCTCGAAATTTATTTTATTCATATACTTGTGCTCTGTTTTATATATGCCTGATACAACATTGGGGGAATGAAGATGAAGATGAAATATACCCTTAGGAGGGAAATGACGCTTTTACCCCTTGCTTTGACGTCCCATTAACCAATATTTAACGGAAGGACCGCAATTGGAAAGATTTTAATAGTCAGGTGATTAAATTGTCCAAATTAAAAGTCAAGGACGAATTATGGAAAATCACCATACTCGGGGAACCATTGTTGGAATTAACTCTAAAATGGTAGGTGCCGAGTGGGCCCCCTCCAAGCATGGACCCTGTGCAAAGGTCCAGTCCACCCTTGCTCAGGACCGCGCCTGTTCATAATGAGAATATCATGCATACTCTATTGTTGTGTGACTATACTAAGTGTGTGTGGAACATTTCGGGTGTGATGGTGCAGTGTATGGTGAAAGATGATTTTGGTGGATGGTTGGAGACTATATGGCGGATGATTCGCACTTGGCCAAAATGGTGGCAGTCATGCATTCTATATGGCTTCAGCGTAACATATATGGCTTTGTGGGAGTCCAAGCTCAGCATTATATTCCAAGCCGTGCCTGGAGCAACGCACGTACAACATGGCTCTTTCTTGACTGCGTGAGCGAGAGGTTGTGCCAGATGCTTTTTTCTTCAATGACTGAGATTTGTTCATATGATGGTTTAGCTGTTTCAGCATGTAAGGAGTTAATGCGTTCTTTTGTTTTATGTTCTATTTCTTTTATTCCTTGAACATCAAATTGTTTAGCTCATTCGGTAGCGTCAGCGGCCTTTGTACAGGCTAACTCTGTGGTTTGAGAGTCCGTGCCTCTTGACTTTATTTCACCACTGCTTAATTAATATATGCAGCATTTTACTTTCAAAAAATAAAAAATACAATAAACTTATTTAGGGGGCGTTTGGTTCAGGTTATATAACATAACCAAGGGATTGTGACATTCCAAAGCTCACATTCCGGTGTTTGGTTCATATTATCTTAGGGAATCTGACATTCCCAAGGAATGTCATATTCCCTCCACATAGGATTTTGAAGGGAATGTGATTCCCTTCAAAATCTTAGGTAATGTAAGATAACCTTGGTTATCTTAAGGATATTATAGTGTGTATAAAAGATAACCCTAAACCAAACATGATTATATTGCATACCCCAATTTTAACCAAACACAGGAATCTAACATTCCAGTAATCTAATATTCCCAGCAATCTAACATTCCCTAAGGTAATCTGACATTCCGTGAACCAAACGACCTTTCTAAAGATAAAGATTTTACCTCGAAATAATTTTGGGGCGGTGGACCACTGATCTGGGACACCAACATCAACATGACTGAGATACATGTATTTTCTTATAACTAATTTAATATTTTTGTTTTTTTTTTTGAAAGTAATTTAATATTTTTGTTAATTGTACAAATTCATATTATTTGAGGAGTAAAAACTAAATTAGTACATCAAAAAAAAAAAAAAAAAAAAAAAAAAAAAAAAAAAAAACTAAATTAGTACAACTTATCATTAAATTATTTTTGTGTTCCTTCAAGGTATAGTTATTTGTATTTTTAATTATTTTTCTCATCATTACATAACCCAATCAGTCATGTCAAATCTTAAAATCATTTAAATCAGTAAACCTTTCGTTACTATAAGATTGACTTCAATGACACTTATTTTTTGTGCAATATAAACCAATGGAAGAGCATGGAATTTTTTTCATGGCATATTTCTTTTTTGATATTACCTTTGTAATTTGAAGGAATTCCTGATTCCCTTCTTTTAATAGTCTTAACATGATATTCGTTATTTCGAATATCCTTAAAGTTTAGAAAATTTCTGTGAGATTTTAGAGAGAACAATGCATTATCAATCATCAATTTTGTTCCTCCAAGCAATAATATGTTGATTTTCTCAGAGCCTTCAATCATTTTGCACTATGGGAGAGTTAATATTGTGCCTAAATTAGTATTAGGAAATTATATTATGTACAGTTAGTATAAGTTTTGATAGGTTAATTATTATAAGTATTAGTAAATTAATATAAATAGTCCATTGTATATATGAAGATCATAAACTATATTTTTATTATAGTTTTTTAGCTATTCTTCTCTAAGCGCTCACACGATAATTGTGAAATTGAAATTTACCGTAATTCAAATTCAGTTGCATACTAAATTTCTGTAGGTAATAATATCATATGTTCAATGTATCTTTCAAAGATTACTTAATTGAAAACCTGTAGTGATGCCATGATATAATTTTTATTATTAATTTTAATTTGTCCCTCTATAAAATTTTCAAATATAGAATTATGTCAGTGTGAGTAATATAATTTAGGGAATATTTAATTATTTATGCAATTTGTTTAATTAGCCAAAAATGAAGAAATATTGTTACCAAATGAGTAATGATCATGAAATGATTTGATATTGTTCGGCACTATATTATATACGTTATGTCAAAAATAGATGTTTAATATTAGTACTGTATATTAAAATCTTAGATTTATTTAAATTTTAGATTTTATAATAATAATAATAATAATAATAATACAGAATAATAATTTTTATAAAATTATTTTAAAAAAATATAGTCGCGGCTGTCCTCGCGGAGAGCTGGTAACATTTTTTTTTAATAATATTTTAAAAATTTTAAGAAATAAATAAATAAATTATTTAAAAATAAAATAAAAAAAGGCACATGTCAACACTGCAAAGATTTAACTTGTTGAACAAGTAAATTTATACTTAATTAAACAATTTTATCAATTTAGTGAATTTGAATGAATTTTTTTTTTTTACTTAGAGCCCCAATTGCATTGACTTAGGGAGCAAATTTGACTATTCCCTTTTTTGTGCACTTTAAATTTGTTCTAAAAAAATGTTCAATGTAAATACGTTATGTATTCATATAGAATATATATCACAGTATTCGTTAAGCGAAAATACGTAGAACCTTCTTTATATTTTGTTAAACATTTATGTTAGTTACTTTCGAAAAGAAAATGTAAATATCTTTATTATTATTATTATTATTATTATTATTATTATTATTATTATTATTATTATTATTATTATTATTATTACAAAAAAATAATTAAGGGAAATTGATATTTTTAGGATATGTTGGTATAATACCAAAGTGGCAGATTTGTAGATATTTAAACGTATTATTTTCTCAATAATTAACTTAATGGGGAAATGGAAATTCTCACCAAATTTGTAGATATTTTTCCATGATATTTAAATGAGTGATTAAGAAAAAATGATTGGTTTGGGCTCAGATGACACCTCTGTGGCTCTCCTTGAGGGAATATATATATATATATATATATATATATATATATATATATATATATATAAAGAGAGAGAGAGATTTTAATAAGAAAAACAAATCCTTTTGACTCAATTTGAAATGGAGATTATTAGCAAATTTATATATATCTTTCCATAATATACAAAAAGAGAACTGAATAAAATACGATTGGTATTTTTCAAGGAACTATATATACTCTATACTAGAGCGATTGCAGTCACACAAACAACAACAATGGCGATTAACACAACATTAACCTTAGCCATTATTATTGCTTTAGTTTCATCATTTGCTAATGCCTATGATCCAAGCCCTCTTCAAGACTTCTGTGTTGCGGCAAATGACCCCAAAACCACTGGTACATACATCTCATACATAATTTTCTGATGTTTTCTTCTTCATACTCACTATATATGTATATGCAACTAACATTTGTGATTAATTTTTGTACAGTTTTTGTTAATGGAAGAGTTTGCAAAGACCCAAAACTTGTAACTCCAGAAGATTTCTTCACAACAGGTCTTAATGCTTCCACATTACCGGCAGCATTCCCCGGCTCAACATTTAGTTCGGCTAGTATTAACAATTTACCTGCATTAAACACACTTGGTCTCACTTTGGTTCGCAATGACTATGTGGTTGGTACTGTTGTTCCACCCCACATTCACCCTCGAGCAACTGAGCTTGCCATTGTCTTGGAAGGTACTTTCTACTTTGGATTTGTAACGGCTGATCCAAGCGATCCGACAAAGAATCGAGTCTATGCAAAAACGTACAACGTTGGAGATGTTTTTGTTACCCCTCAAGGTCTTATTCACTTTGGGGCTAACATTGGAGCTGGGAATGGAAGTACTTATGCAGTTTTCAATAGCCAAAGTCCTGGGTTTAATTTTGTATCGGATCAGCTTTTTAGATCTGACCCGCCCATCTTAGATGATGTATTAGCCAAATCTTTTCGTGTGGATGAGAAAGTGATAAAGCAAATTAGAGCACAATTCTCTTAGGAAAAATGGCATTTTAATGTAAAATGGAATGTGCAATAATTAAAGATTGTTTCTCTTTTATAGTGTTATTATAAATATTATGGTATGGCAATCCTATCTCATGTGATAATCACAGTTTTTTTAAAGTTATTAATCCATAAAATACAAATGAATATTGGTTCAAATTCAAAGATTTAATGCACTAACATCATTGAAATTCTAATCTTTTAAGATGGATACGATGATTGGTAACCATGACCACCACCCTCGTTCCAGACGGCAATGATTGTGGTTAGAACGGCGGAAGTCACCTAAACGCTTCCAATCCCCCTCGACGACATAACCAAAGCCTGCAAGAATCCCCACATTTTACCAATCGTTATGCCGTGCATCAGTGTGCACCAACGACGTCGTTTTAACTAAAAACGTGCGTCCCACTTAAAAAAAAAAATAGTTTCGATTCCCCTCAATAGCATTATGTTGTTCATTCATTTTGGATTTTTAGTTTATTGATTCTGGATGTTTAGTTCATTGATTCTGCATATTTAGACGGAAATCGAAACTGATTTTTTTTTTCATTCATTATGGATTTTTAGTTCATTCATTCTGGATTTTTAGTTCATTCATTTTGGATATATAGTTCAAATTATGCACAACATAATGCTGTTGCCGGGAATCGAAACTAATTTTTTTTAAGTGAACGTGCATTTTTAGTCAAAACGAGTAAACGACGTCATTTTTGCATCCGTCTGCGCGTGCACACGGTGCAGAGCATAATTTGCCACATTTTACAACAACTATTCGACTTATCCCCAAGAAAATTCCAATTTTGAAGCAAATAAATATAAACGATGAAACACTATGCGGATAATACAGACTCGAGGTTGGGTGAATGATAGAGAAGCAGATAGTTTAGTTGGCAGAGGAGGCGAATACATGATTCTACGCAAATAATTTACTTTCAAAAAATATACTTTATATACGCAAATAATGTACTTTTAATATATTAAAAATGTACTTTTTTTGTTATGATTCACACAGCTATGTGGATCATGGTCCATGTAATAATGATTGGTAGTGATAAATTATATTGTGGATCAGGGCGCACAATGCATTGTGTGCTCTGGCCCAAAACGACGACGTTTCTATAAGTTGGTGGGGAGTTGATACGACAAACACCGTTCCGTCCGTCCATTCGTCCAATCCCGTGACAGTTCTTTTTTGTTTTTTTGTTTGTTTGTTTGTTTATGTGTATTATGTTAAGAGTTTATGTGCATTGTATTAAGAGTTTATGTGTATTATGTTAAGAATTTATGTGTATTATGTTAAGAATTTGTGTATTATGTTAAGAGTTTGTGTATTATGTATCGACAGAAACGGGAAACGGAATTTTTTTTATAAAAAAATCGTTAATAAAAAGATACAAAACGACGTCATTTTGTGCCAGGCAAAATATATTGTGCGCCCCAGTGCACGACATAACAATTGTTGTGTAGCTAGGTAATGTATAATGTTACTTCAAAAAAAAGGTAATGTATAATGTTACTTAATACTCCGTATTTGTTATTGCTTTAAAATTTTGTTTTTCTATATATAAATATCTAAATATTGGTATGATTTGAGTTAAAGATAGAAAGAAATATTCTTAATAATTAGCTCACAAATATGTTTTATACCAAATATATTAAATGAATATAATTTTGGTTGTACTTGAGACAACTATATATAAGTACCATTTGAGAAGACTATGATCACACCACCAAAAAAACAAAACAATGGCTTTCCTCTTCCCAACAACCTTAGCCATTGTTGCTCTTGTTTTTTCATTTTCTCATGCTTTTGATTCAAGCCCTCTTCAAGACTTTTGTGTTGCGGCGAATGATCCCAAATCTACTGGTAAATATTCTTTCATTTCCACTTTTTATTGCTTGATCTTCATATTTTTGGAGCTAAAAATTATAACTTTCAACTCGCAAGTCGAAATTATAATGTTTCTAGTTAGAAATTGTTTCTGATTATCAACAAAAGTGGTGAAAAAAATTAATCAATTATGTTATCATTATCTCCCGTTAATTTTCGATCATCATCAGCGACAAAAGGTGATTGGAACTTTGGATTATGCGTGGTCGGAAAATTTTCAAAATAATGAAGAAGAAAAATTCCGTCACGCAAATCCCACAAAAAACGTTTGCTTTTTATTATTCTTATGTAATTTGAGTTTTCAATGTTTTATGCATGCAGTTTTTGTGAATGGAAGGGTTTGCAAAGACCCAAAAAAGGTGACAGAAGATGACTTCTCCACATCCGGTTTAAATGTCAGCGGAGTTCCGGCAGGTGTAGGCCTAACTGTTAACACCGTTGATGTTGACAGAATCGCCGGACTAAACACACTGGGCATATTCTTGATTCGTGTGGATTATGAATCTGGGGCATTGGCCACCCCCCATACACACCCTCGATCAAGCGAGATAGTCTTGGTTTTGGAGGGCACACTTGAAGCGGGCTTTGTCACGGCTGATCCGAGCGATCCGACGAAGAATCGTCTTTATGCCAAAACATTGAATGCTGGGGATGTTTTTGTGATTCCCCCAGGTTTACTTCACTACCAGGCAAATGTTGGGAAAGTTAAGGCAACCAGTTTTAACAGTTTAAACAGCCAAAATCCCGGCATTACACCCGTTTCGTCTCAACTTTTTGGAACAGTTCCGGCCATTTCCGATGATATCCTCTCCAAAGCTTTTAGAGTGGATAAGGAAACCATTGAACTTATAAAGTCAAAGTTTGCCTAGCTAGTTGTGAACTAATGTGTAGCTCCCCATGATGTCAACATGAGTTTCAGTTTTTACTTTTACATTTTTTAATAAAAAAAATTAGTATTTATTACTGCACTATTCAATTGACTTACATATCAAACAATAAACACAACGACCGGTGGTATAAAAAAAAAAAAAACAATAAAGGTGTAATATATATATTTTTTGATTAATTAAAGTGTTTGTCAGATCTTTAGTGTCTTGTACATGTCTTAACTGTAGGGAGACACCCGACCGAATTGGAATAAGCTATATAAGGAACTTTCAACTGCCACTATCGGGGTCAAGAAGACAATGGAAAATGATTTTGGTGGCATCATTCTGGACGAGATGTGTCAGCATGAGGCATATATTAGTCCGGGTCCAAATTTATAAGGATAGAGGAGGGTAATTGTTAAGATCAATTTAGTACGAATCTACATCTATAATTTATAAAAAAATATTGTGTACTCCCATATTTTATTTTCACACCTAAAATTTTGATATAAACACTTATATTATATTGGGACTCACATAAAAAAAAATAGTCCTTATATTCTTTGTTTGTCAGAATTAGTCATATGTTTAAAAATACCATTCCACTATTTAATAAAGGCAGCTAACATATAATTTCATCATTCAAACATTTTATTTTTTCGAATACTATTGTCTCTATCTGTTACAATGCAATATTTGTTTATAACTATTTTTTCAACATATTGAAGTATAAAGAGTCTACCTCCACTGAGGCTTAAACCCACAATCTCATATATGGGAGAGCAATTTGGTGTCACTAGACCACAAGATTCTTGGCTTCATCATTCAAACATCTTGCTCCAATATGTAATTTCTCTCATTCTCTTCTAATTGAATGAAGAAATTACATGTTAGTCATATTTATTAAACAATTGAATGACAATAATTTTAAAAGATGACTAATTCTGACATGCAAATACAAGTTAAAGATTTAATACGACAAAATTAAAGGAGTAATACTAAATGTGACATTGCCACAATAGTTAATAGGATGACAATTTTTCCTATCTTCGACGAGATCCCAAATTTCCTCTCCATCGGGAAGGGATATGAGAAAAAAATTGGGTAACGAGGACAGAACAAGGATGATTTATAATTCTCCATCGAGGGTTGCGCCCTGTACCCGAGATATATATATATATATATATATATATATATATATATATATATATATATATATATATATATATATATATATTATTGTATTTAATATTAGCCAAGCACTTTGTGCTCAGATGACATGTAGTATTCCTATTGTATTTAATATTAGTCAAGCACTTCGTGCTCACATGGTATGTAGTAACCTCTTCTATGCGAGCGGTCATGAGATTGAGTTTCAGTAGAGGCATTGTAATAGAGTTAGTAGCATTCGAAGAAATTTTTTTTAATTTTATTATTAAAAAGTATTTTAATTATACACTCTAACTATGGTTAACTGTGGACGAGGAATTCCCGCACCCACATATTTCCTTGTTGGGACAACGGAGACCAGGTTAGTAAAATAGGAAGTATATGTACTTCCTGCTCTCACCCGATTATCATCCCTAATAGTTGAGTACTAAAGATAAAATTTACGCTTTACTTAATTACTAACCATGTGCTAAGAATATCTGATACGTCTTTAAATGTAATTATATAGCTTAATTAGGAAGATTTAATTATGTTTCTATAATCAGTAGGATAATTAAGATGGTACAACTTAATTAGTGGGAGAGTTGATATTGTGTCTAAATTAGCATAGGGAAATTATGTATAACATGATATATATCTAAAAACATAATAAGTCTCAATTAATGTTATATCCTTGATTTATGTCCCTTTTTTTATATGCTAATAAAGGTATACATATTACTTTAAATGTTGTACACTTCAATGTTATTAGACAAAATTGTCCCTACTATATTCTTGTTAGACGAAACTATCCTTACACCGTTACTTTTTAATTCAACATTGATGACTCCATCATTATTACCATGCACTTATATCTATCATATCTTCTTCCTATTCTTTAATTATAATTTTATTAAAATCATTATATAATTAATTTAATGGTTGATTATATTTTAATTAAATTTCTATGAATGATAAATCATATATATGTGTAAAAAATACATATATTATTTGTGTATATATAATTCGAATTATAATTTAATTATTTGTATTTATCAATGTTTTAATATTGTGCATGAACTTTCGCGCATTGCGCATACAAAATGCTAATGTATATATATATATATATATATATATATATATATATATATATATATATATATATATATATATATATATATATATATATCACTATCTTGTATAATTGGTATAATTTTGGTAGGTTAATTATTATAGGTATTAGTAAATTAATATAAATAATTAAATCATTGTGTATGAAGATGAGGAAGCAGGGAAATATATTGTTATTCTATTTTTTTAGTTATTCTTCTTGAAACATTCACATGCGCGAAGTTTAAAATTAAAATTTACCGTGACTTGAATACGATTGCGAACTAAATTTGAGTAGGTAACAAAATCATATGTTCAATGTATCTTTTAAAGATTACTTAATGGAAAACCAAATGTTACATTCTGTAGTGATGACATGTTATAGTTTTTATTATTAATTCCCTCTGATAAAATTTCCAAATACAGAATAACGTCAGTGTGAATGATTTAGAAAATATTTATGCAATTTGTTTAGCCAATTGCAATAATGAAGAAATATTTTTACCGAGTTTATAAATCTTCCAAAATTATGCGAAATGAGTAATGATCATGAAATGACTTTGATATTGTTCGTCACTATAAATATTTTGTATTCAAGAGCAATAAGGTCACACAAACTAACTGCAATAATGGCCTTTCACTTGAGCATAACCTTAGCCATTGTTGCTTTTGCTTTATCTTCTGCTTATGCCTATGACCCAAGTCCTCTCCAAGACTTCTGTGTTGCGTCAAATGACCCCAAAGCTACAAGTAATTATACTACTCATAGGTTACTTTTTAATTTGCTTTTGTTTTAATCGATTAAGTTACACTTACTATTCATATTATGTGAGATTATTCTTAAATAACGTTATTGGCTTATAATTTTGTGCAGTTTTTGTGAATGGTAGGGTATGCAAAGACCCTAAACTTGTCACATCAGATGATTTCTTCACCTCAGGGCTCAATACTGCTAAAACTCCAACATTTGCAGGTTCAACATTCAGTGCGGCTAGTATTAACGAAATTCCAGGACTCAACACACTTGGTCTCACTTTGATTCGCAATGATTTTGAACCGGATACCGTTACACCACCCCACATACATCCTCGAGCAACTGAGTTGGCCCTGATCTTAGAAGGATCGCTCTACTTTGGGTTTGTTACCACTGATCCAAGTGACCGGACAAAAAATCGTGTCTATGCGAAAACCTATAATGCCGGAGATGTTTTTGTTATACCACAAGGCCTTATTCACTTCGGTCTCAATGTTGGATCTGGAAACGCAACTACTATTGCAATTTTCAATAGTCAAAGTCCTGGGTTTAATTTTGTACCGGATTCACTATTTAGATCAAACTCATCCATCTCAGATGATGTATTGTCTAAATCTTTTCGAGTAGATAAGAAAGTAATTAAACAAATTAGATCTCAATTTTCTTAGAAATTTTTTTTTGAATGTGAGTTGGCTAAGTAATTAATAAAAGATTCTTTCCCTTTTATTATAATGTGATACTCCGTATTATTGTGTGATATTTAAATATCTGATTTTGTAACGGCATTTAAATATTAACTAGTATGCATTTTTGTTTAAATATGACGAGCCCACCCCACTCTAGATTATAATTTTAGAAAATCTAATTTTAGCTTTTAAATTATAGTTGAATAGAGAATATAGTTCTCAATTATTGAACTAGTATGCATTTTTGTTTAAATATGACGAGCCCACCCCACTCTAGATTATAATTTTAGAAAATCTAATTTTAGCTTTTAAATTATAGTTGAATAGAGAATATAGTTCTCAATTATTGAACTAGTATGCATTTTTGTTTAAATATGACGAGCCCACCCCACTCTAGATTATAATTTTAGAAAATCTAATTTTAGCTTTTAAATTATAGTTGAATAGAGAATATAGTTCTCAATTATTGAACGTGAATATACATCTAGTTTGTAAGTTTTTAATCACAATGTAGTTTCAAATTTTCAGTCATCTCATGTGTTATAATTTTGATATCTAAATTTTGACTAAATATCAATTTTAATTCATAATTATTCAACATAAAAGGACTAAAACCACTAAAAAGTAAAGTTAGTTAATTGCATACCAACATACTTACGTATACTTATATAATACTAGTATATTCTATATGTGATATGCAAAAATAGATGTCCAATATTAATAATGTATATTAAAATTTTAGATTTTATATTATTGTCTATCGACGCGGAAAAAGGGTTCAAGATTTTAGAGTCTAGAGATGAAAAACAAAAAGAGAAGAAAAACCAAAAAGAGAATCTAAAAAGAAAAATGACCGAGTAAAGGAAAAAAAATAATAATAATAAAAAAGCAATTAGAGATAGGGGAACTCTGGGATACTTTTGAAATTACCCATAAAGGGATTGCATTTTAATAGCCCAATCAAGTGTTAGAAAAAATCTTATATTACAATTAAATATGGGTTGTTGGATTTATTTTTATAATAATTACAATTAATTCATCTAGGATATGGAAGAGGATGAAGAAAAAATTAAGTAAATGTTATATGGTGAAAAGGAATATTCTTAATGTATAAAGTATAATTACACATATATTAGTGTAATTGTCTAATAATTATTATGGAAATTAAGCTAAACATAGATCAATTTAATTTATCAATATAATAATTACAATTAAATTATTTCTCATCTTTTCCCAATATTAAATATTGTTTTCCATGATAATTGCAGACAAACGATTCATATATTTTTTAGATAATTGAGTGATATTTTTATACTAATATTATAATCAAATAAATGTACACTTTTAAATATTGAAATTGTTTATAATTTCATCTTTAATTTTATTACCTAAATATATAATTAAAAAAATTTATCCGTGTATCGCACGGGTATTTTACTAGTTTTCAAAATAATACTAATATCTCATATATATGATTGATTGATCTGAATTTTTAATTACAAAAGGAAAAAAATCAGAAACATTATAATATCATATATATCAAAGACCTAGCTATTATGATATTTTTGATTTTGATTCATTTGCCTTTTCTTGATTTGCCTTAGCGATTTTTTTCTAACTAATAAAAGAATTAACTCAATAAGGAATTGGAGATTCTTACTAATCTATAAACATCTCTCCATAATAATATACAAAATAATTAATGAAGATCAGAAGAAATGATTGAATTGATTCTCATGTTCAACAAAGGGAGTATATAAATACTCCAATTTCAAGAACGAATACAATCACACAAGCAAACAGCAACAACAATGGCGATTCACACGACATTAACCTTAGCCATTATTGCTTTAGTTTCATCATTTGCTAATGCCTATGATCCAAGCCCTCTTCAAGACTTTTGTGTCGCGGCAAATGACCCCAAAGCCACTAGTATGTACCTCTCAAACATTATTTTATGATGTTTTCTTGTTCATACTCACTATATATATGTGATTAATTTGAAAATTTGTGTGCAGTTTTTGTGAATGGAAGGGCATGCAAAGACCCGAAGCTTGTAACAGCAGACGATTTCTTCACCTCGGGTCTTAATACTTCTAAGTTACCCGCATTCACGGGTTCAACATACAGTGCGGCTAGCATTAACGAAATACCTGGACTTAACACTCTCGGCCTCACTTTGATCCGCAATGATTTTGCACCAAATAGCGTCACTCCGCCCCACATTCACCCTCGAGCAACTGAACTTGTCCTCATCTTAGAAGGAACGGTTTACTTTGGGTTTGTGACCGCTGATCCAAGTGACAGAACCAAAAATCGTGTTTATGCAAAAACATATAGTGCTGGAGATGTTTTCGTCACCCCACAAGGTCTCATTCACTTTGGGGCTAACATTGGAGCTGGAAAGGTAAGTACTATTGCGGTTTTTAATAGTCAAGATCCTGGGTTTAATTTTATACCCGATCAGCTCTTTGGATCAAATCCACCAATCTTAGATGATGTATTGTCCAAGGCTTTTAGAGTGGATAAGAAAGTGATAGATCAAATTAGAGCAGAATTCTCTTAGGAGAAATACTTTTTAATGTAAACAATAATTAAAGGCAATTTCTATAGCTTTTGTAATGTATTACTTCAATATTATGGTATGATATTTTATCGATATAGTGATCTTTTTAAATGAGTAAAATGATATTCACGTCTAATTTTAGGCCACCAAAATTTCTTTCCCTAAGATGCTTGAGTTTATTGAGAATTTTCATTCATTAAAATTATTGTGTTTGATAGATCATTGATTATGTAAGTGAAAATAATAAAATTTGTATCCAATAAGACAATATATTTAAGACAATAGCTTGGAACAGTTGATAAATCTATATCTATATATATATAAAAGTAAAATCCTCCTATCAGTTTTCCCCCCAAAATTTAGTGGCATTTTTGTAATATCAAATATTTTGACAAATATGGCATTTCAATAATATTAAAGATTTTACCTTTCTTGAGATCTCTTACCATTTTATAATTTCAATACTAAACCCTTTTGATCTCATCCATTGTGTATAAATACACCTTATATGACCATATACAACCCCAACTAAGGTTAATTATTTCATTAATTTTTGCTAATCATCCTGTGATCTTCCACAGTTGAGGTTGATACGTGATTTGCACGGGTGAGGTTTTCATTATCTTAGTTTCTTTTATTTTTTCTTCTTTTTGGGTTTTGTTTTGTTTTTTGTTTTTTTTTTTTTTTTGTTTTGTTTTGTTTTGTTTTGTTTTGTTTTGTTTTGTTTTTTTTTTTTTTTTTTTTTTTTTTTTTTTGATTTTTAAACAACAAAAGTGGTTCGTAAGAAAAAATGTTGATATATACTTTTTTTGGGTCTATTTTTGTTGAGAAGATACGGATCTAGAAAGATTGATCGGGAAGCAATAGACTTCTAATCATCCTGTGATCTTCCACAGTTGAGGTTGATACGTGATTTGCATTGGTGAGGTTTTCATCATCTTAGTTTCTTTTATTTTTTCTTCTTTTTGGGTTTTGTTTTGTTTTTATTTTTATTTTTTTTGTATTTTATGGTTTTTAAACAACAAAAGTGGTTCATAAGAAAAAATGTTGATATTTTTTTTTTTTGTTTGTTTGTTTGTCTATTTTTGTGGAGAAGATACGGATCTAGAAAGATTGATCGGGAAGCAATAGAGTTCCTTTCTCATCAAGATGATAAAGTTTTGTGATCAAGGGACGAATTATGTGTATATGTAAATAGGTATAGACTTACAGAGGGAAGCATGCTAAGAATACAATAAAAACCAAAATGAAATTAAAAGCATTTTTTAGTTGTCAATATATCAAAGCGTTGGAGTTTGTTTCAATTCAATTTCTCCGTTTTAAAGTGTACATTTTTTGTAATAAGAGAGTAGTTTGTCTCTCCCTTCAAGACGTTTTTCTTGCCATTTAATTTTTTTTTTAAGGAAAAAAATGATTAAGTACTGTGGCTTTTTTTCAATAGAGTATTATTTTGATTTTATTCTTCATCTGACATTCCTTGATATAAAATCACTTTACTAATGTAAAATAATGTTATTGAGTTACCATGTTTGCTTCGATATGCTAAGCCATTTAAAATTTAATACGGAGTAAAATTTATAATTGTAATACTTCCGTAATAATATTGAATAAATATTAATCATATGTTTAGATTTAATAATATATTATATTAAAAGAATTATATATTAATTTAATATAGTGATGGTTAATACGGGTAAACCATATATAAGCAATATTGTACCTTAAGAATATTATACTTAATTATAAGAATTCTACCTAATAATTTTAGTATTAAATGTCATACAATAATTACCATAAACAATGTTTAATAATTGCCAAATTCTATTATGCAATAAAAATTACTATTATAAAATCTTGTGTAATATGGACACATTATTTTTAATTATTTCGATTTAATAATATTATATCTTATGTATAAAAATTCAAATAATACTTTTAGTACTATTGAATATTGATTGACTAACAATTATTTTAATTATTAAGACAATTAATAGATATTTCGATTTAAAAAGTTTTCAAATATATGAATTATACATAGTAGCATGGAATCAAGACAATTATATTAGGTAATCTAATAAATAATTTACTTTTTAAATTATATCCTCTCTTTAATAAATTATACTTACCTTAATAATTAATTATTAATATTATTACCTAATAATTATATATTGTTACCTTTTTTGGTGTAATTATTATGGTAATTTATATACATATATATTTTTATACTTAATGTATAATATTATTGGCATGAAATAAATTATACTTACCTTAATATATAATTAATTTTTAATATAATTACCTTATTTTTATTAAAGGTAATTATTCTGATAATTTTTCTTTCATTATTTTGTGTGATTATTATGGTAATGTATTTAAATTTTGGAAGAGATTATTACAAATATTATAATTAATATAAGTAATATAATTAATGAAATTATTATGGTAATGGCCACAATATTTGGTAATTATAATTAATATAATTAAAGAAATTGAGAAATATAAGATTTCTTCCTTAGAAATATTTGTGACAATTTCATTAAATTACAATTAATAAAATATGAAATATAATTAAAGAAATGAAATTATTAAATTAACAAAATATGAATATTTCTAATCATACATACACTTATGCACTATAATAATCATGCAAAATTTAAATGCAACTTTTTAAATTTTTAAATGTAATTTTTAATTATAAATCTATCAATATAAATTATAGTTAATGAAATTATATTATAAAACTTTACTATATACATATTAATAAATATTATGTGTATATACAATGAATTATACAATCATATAAGGAAATGCGTCGGATTAGAGTTTAAATTTATTCATACAAAATTTAGAATTTACATTTTTTTTTATAAAACTAATCAAATTTTAATGTTAATAATAATAATAAGAATTTTAAAATCAGAATTATAAATTAAGTATTAGGGTAATAATTAATCTATATATATATATATAAATATATATATATATATATATATATATATATATATTATATATATTATATTATATTATATTATATTATTATTATTATTATTATTATTATTATTATTATTATTATTATTATTATATAAAAACAAAATCATCCTATTTAATTTTCCCGCCCAAACTTTTGTAGTAAAGCTTATTTGGTAAGTAAATGTCAAATGGAAATTAAATAAAATCTATTAATTGGTAATATTGCATAATTGTTAACATTATGTATGGTATTATATTCTATAATATAATAATATAATTAATAATATTATTTTTCAAGTATAATAAAAATCCTATCTAATAATGTAATAATAATAAAATAAAATTAAAATTAAAATAATAACAATAACAATAACAATAACAATAACATAACAATAATAATAATAACAACAACAACAAATGTAATAATCCAAACAAAACTATATACAAAATAAATTTAAAATTAAAAAAAAAAAAAATAGGAAGAAGACAAAGGTGGCTCCCCTTTGTAAATGATGTGGGATCATTTTGATTCCACATTGAAAATGTTTGGAAAGATGAGCTCTTAAACTCCTCTATATAAGAGGGGCATTTACAAACATATAATTGTTTGCCCATCAATATGGGCAAGTATTGAGAAGTCCAAAGATTTTTTTTTTATTTTTTTTATTTTAGTACTATTAACCTGACAAATTATGTTGTGGATATGTGTCCACCTTGCAATGTAGACACATTTCAAAAATTGTTCATAATTATTAATATATAGTTCAAAAATTATGAACATATAGTTCTATAATTATGAACATAGTGTTGTGAACATAATTATGAACATATAGTTATGTAATTATGAATATAGAGATTCAATAATTGTGAATATGAAGTTAAAAATTATGCATATATATCTTTATAATTATGAACATATAGTTCAGTAACTATGAACATAGAGTTCTGTAATTATAAATATAGAGTTAAATACGTACTTATGAATATGAAGTTCAAAAATTATGAATATATAGTTTTATAATAATGAACATATAGTTTAGTAATTATAAACATAGAACTGTGTCCACCTTGCAAGGTGGACACGGTTCCAAAACATAACTATTCGATTGACCCTGTAACATGTAAACTTTCTCAACTTATTAAAGCCCTACGTATCAAAAGGCTCTTATTTAAGAAACCTTATCTTAATGGCTTCTTATTTTAGTTTTTTTTTTTATTTTTTTTTAATTTATTAGGGGGGTTTGAGAAAGATTAACCCAAAATGTATATGAGTTGTTTTAGTTTTTAGCAGTTTGGAGCAAATTGCTAAGTTATTAAATAATATTTTTGGTGTTTTGATTAAATATAAAATATTAAACAGACGAATTTGTTAAAATTTTGACGAATTTGCCAAATAATCAAATTACAACAACAACAACAACAACAACAACAACAACAACAATAATAATAATAATAATAATAATAATAATAATAATAATAATCCAAAAAAAAACTATATACAAAATAAAATTAAAATTAACCAAAAAAAAAAAAAAAAAAGAAGACAAAGGCGAGCCACAGGCTCCCTTTGTAAATGATCCCACATTTACAATGTTTGAAAAGAGAGAGCTCCTCTATATAAGAGGAGCAATGAGACTCTTATAAACATAATTGGGGCTATGGAAGATTAACCCAAAATGTATGTGTTGTATTAGTTTTTAGCAGTTTGGAGCAAATTATTGTGTTATTATATAATATATTTTGGTGTTTTGATTAAAGTTAAAATGTTAAAATAACGAATTTATTAGAATTTTGGCGAATTTATCAATAATCAAATTACAAATAATAATAATAATAATAATAATAATAATAATAATAATAATAATAATAATAATAATAATAATAATAATAATAATCCAAACAAAGCGATATACAAAATAAAATTAAATTTAAAATTAAAAATAATAAGAAGAAGACAAAAGGGAGCCACGGGCTCCATTTGTAAATAATGCTGGATCATTTTGATCCCACATTGAAAATGTTTGGAAAGA